ATGTGTGATGTGTGTGTGTGTGTTCTGTGTTGTGCGTGCTTTTTGTGCGTTGTAAGTGTGTTGTGTGTGTGTGTGTGTGTGTGTGTGTGTGTGTGTGTGTGTGTGTGTGTGTGTGTGTGTGTGTGTGTGTGTGTGTGTGTGTGTGTGTGTGTGCGTGCGTGCGTGCGTGCGTGCGTGCGTGCTTGCGTGCGTGCGTGCGTGCGTGCGTGCGTGCGTGCGTGCGTGCGTGCGTGCGTGCGTGCGTGTGTGTGTGTGTGTGTGTGTGTGTGTGTGTATGTGTGTTTGTGTGTTTGTGTGTGTGTGTGTGTTTGTGTGTGTGTGTGCTTGTGTGTGTGTTTGTTTGTTTGTTAGTTTGTTTGTTTGTTTGTGTGTCTCCCCCTCCTGAATAATCATAATAAAAAAATAAGTTAAAATTAAAACACCCCACCCCCGACGAAAAGAAGCTGGTCACACGCGAGAGAACCCTGAGAACTCGGCGGGCTTCCGAAGGAGGGCTCGGGCGCGGGCGGCCTTCTCGGAAGGCCCAGGCACGCTTCCGAGGGCGTTCGCCGGGGCGTGCGGAAGGAGGGGGGAGGGAGGGAGGATGGGGAGGGGGGAGGGGGAGGGGGGAGGAAGGTAGGGAGGCAGGAGGAGAAGGATGGGGAGGAGCGGGAGGCGGGAGGAGGGTAGGAGGAAGGAGGGAGGAGGGACGCTCTGGAAGGCATCGATCCTCGTCCTGCCCCGCCCGACGACCAGGGGGCTGAGGCAGTGCACCTCGCCGGGCGCCACGAGCGACGCCTGCACGACGTGCGATCCTGGGGGGAGACTCGGGGGCGTCCACGTGGGGGGGCGGAGGCGGGGGCGTCCAAGAGGGGGGCCGTCCACGAGGGGGTGCATCCAAGAGGGGGGCGTCCAAGAGGGAAGACTCGGGGGCGTCCAAGAGGGGGGGTGGCGCAAATCATGGTGGCCGGGCGGACGCCCGGCGGGCAAACGTGCGCAGACGCCCGGGGGGGGGGGGGACCATAGTGGAATGAGAAGAGGCGCCATGAACTCTGGGGAGGTATCATCGGGAGAACGAAGCGAAGAACGACATAAGCAGAATAACTCGGAGGTCCGCGCGGATTTCTCGGATCGGCGCGCTGGACCCCCCTCCCTGGCGCGCGGAGCGCGCCAGGGGCGGCGCCGGAGCGGATATCCGCGTGGATCTCCGAGTATTTATGTTTATGTCATTATCCGTTCCCCTAATCATGCCCCCCACCATGATGTCCTGGCACTCCTCCTCCTCCTCCTCCTCTCCTCCTCCTCCTCCTCCTCCCTCCTCCTCCTCGTCCTCCTCCTCCTCTTCCCCTTCCCCTTCCCCTTCCCCTCCCTCCCTCCCTCCCCCTCCTCGCCCTGCCTCCCTCCCTCTCCCTACTCGGCTCTCCTCGGCGCGTTCCCCCGGGACGCGGACCGCAGCATCTCCAGCGTGGTATCGGCGGACCGAAATTTCGACCGGCGTCTACCTGCACAGATGCGTGCCAGGCTCCTGGGCCCTGGGCGGTCGATGCGTCCTCCTGGCCTGGGCAGGCTGGTCGACACCGATCCTGGGCCCAGGATCGGCACAGCCAGGATCGGCATAGGATGGTGTAGATGTTTAGCACCGTGCCCTCCAGGAAAAGTCGGGGGCGGCCAGGAGGGGGGCGTCCAAGACGGGGGGTGCAAATCATGGCTGGCGGCATGTGCGCGGCCAAACGGGGGCGCCAGGGAGGCAATGAAGTGAGAAGAGGCGCCACGAAATCTTGGGAAATCTCACGGCCCACGCCATAATATCCCCCCCCTAGTCATCACCCCCCTCTGTGCCGCCCCCGAACAAGAAACGGCACACGCACGAACCGCCGGAGCACCGCGCGGATCTCCCCGGCCTTCTCTGCCTGGCGCGCGGGGCGCGCCAGGGGTGGCGCCCTGCAGGCGACGCCCCTGGCGGTTCCAGCGCCGACTCGAGAGATCCGCGCCGCGGAGCTCTGAGAGTTGATGCCTCTGGCGCGCGCAGGATGGTGACGCCAGGGATGGGGACCTGCTGCTTTCATGTCAGCGGGGCGCCCAGGTGCGAGAGCGGTCGGGCGCTGGTCGCGCTCAAGGCGGGACGCGCCGAAAGCGAATGGGGGCACGATGGAAAAGGGGCACGGGCACATGCTGCACGACACCGACTCTCGTCTTCGAGGCTCGAGGTCCGAAGTGGCAGAGCACCCCAAGCGGCACGGCAGGCCACGGGCTCTCGAGCAGCGCGACCACCGCCGTGCCGCCGCTCACCAGCCCGGCCGCAGGCCGCAGCGCGCGCAGCGCGAGCGGGAGCTCCGAGGGCCGCGGAGCGACCGCCTCCTCCAGGACCGCGGAGTCCCCGTCCACCTCCCGAGCAGCGGAGGGATCCGCATCCACGCCCTCGCGGTCTGGACTCCCGTGCGCGAGCTCCTCCTCCTCCTCCTCCTCCTCCTCCTCCTCCTCCTCCTCCTCCTCCTCCTCCTCCTCCTCCTCCTCCTCCTCCTCCCTCCTCCCTCCTCCTCCCACGGACACGCGGTCGCACGGAGACGCCCCGCGCGGGCCATCCGCGGGCAAGAGCGCCCCGCATCCCGCGGGGTCGCCCGGCCCAGGCGAGGCCGCGGCCGCAGGCTTCGCCCGCGGCCGCCTGCACGAGCACTGGGCTCAAGACGTGGCCGCCCTGCACCAGCGAGAGGCTGTACTCTCCCGACGTCACCGCGGGCACGGAGCAGTCCTGGAGGAACAGGCGGCGACCAGAGCGTGCCCTCTCCGGAGGTCCGCGCGGATTTCTCCGAACGGGCGCTCTGGACCCAGGACTTGTGGCTGGTCCAGGGCTCCGGGGATGCACCGATTCCGAAAAGGGGCAAACTCGATAGACGTACGCTTTCGGACTCCAGGGAGCGCACGTCTGTGGCACTTCTTGTTCCCCGAAGTCCACGCCGTCCACGTCCACCTCGTCTGGCTCGTACGTCAGCGCGCCCAGGCGGCACCGCACGCTGACTCCCGGGCGCGGGAGCCCGTACACCACCGACGGGAACTGCGCGCCGTTCGTCTCGAAGCGCACCACCGACTCTGCCGTGAGGCGACCGTCCGGCAGCACCCAGGTGCCCCTTCATAGAAAAATAACGGAACTAACATACGGTGAGGGCATTGGTCGGTGGCGAGCGAGGGGGGACAGTGAGAAGGAGAAGGCCTTCTCAGGAGGCGGCGGGGCTCCTCGGAAGCCCTGGCGCCTTCTGAGAAGTTTTCCGCGTCTTCGGGGAAGGCTCAGAAAACTTCTGAGAAGGCCCGGGGACTTCCGAGCCTTCTGAGAAGGCCCGCCCCCTTCTCACTTCCCCCCGGGCTCGCCGCCGAACTGGATAAGGAACCCTCAGACAAGGGATCCAGGGTCCAGAAGCCCGTGGAACACCACTCGAAGCTTGGCCATGGATATCATTACCAGCCTCGAACGTATCCCTATCCCTAAGATTGACACGCCAAAAGGCGATGACAATCTTAGGGATCCGCCCTCAAAAAATAAGGGAATCCCTAAGATTGGCATCGTGATGAGGAGGTGCCCAGCACAGGGATAGGGATATGTTCCAGGCTGGTAATATCACCGCCGCCCTGATCTGATGAGGAAGCCTCCAGGGTCTGAGGCCTCCCGCGCACATTCCGACACCGACGCCCCCGCCGTAAGCAGAAACCTTCGGAGGCCCGCGCGGATTTCTCGGATCGGCGCTGGACCCCCCTCCCTGGCGCGCGGAGCGCGCCAGGGGCGGCGCCGGAGCGGATAGCCGCGCGGACCTCCGAGTTGTTATGTTTATGTCATTATCCGTTCCCCTATAATCATGCCCCCCACCATGATGTCCCGGCACTCCTCCTCCTCCTCCTCCTCCTCCTCCTCCTCCTCCTCCTCGTCCTCGTCCTCGTCCTCGTCCTCGTCCTCGTCCTCCTCTTCCCCTTCCCCTTCCCCTCCCTCCCTCCCTCCCCCTCCTCGCCCTGCCTCCCTCCCGAGAAGTTCGCGCGCGGAGCTACTGCACTCAACTGAATGACTATGCCCTGCTTGATGCTTCGACCTCAGAGGCGCAAAGTACTTGAACACCGGGATCTCGGCCACGGTCCGGCCGGTGGGGTCCTCCAGCCGCACGGAGACCGCGCGCGGCCGCGTGGACGCCGGCACCCGGCAGCTGGCCCCGAACGGCGAGAAGGCCACCGCGGAGGTGGTGACGTCGCCGAGCTCGGTGCGGCTCCAGGCGCAGCGGTAGGGGGCCGTGGCCAGCGCCTGGAACGCCTCCCCCGCGCTCCGCCACCGGAGCACGCTGCGCACACCGCACGGTGCGGACTCCGGGGACTCCGCAGCGAAGAAGGGCAGCCGTGCGGGAGCCTCGAACGCGAAGGCCGTGCTGACCGGCACCCTGACGCGCTGCATGAGCAGAGGGGACGGCACCACGAGCACCGCGATCAGGTCGAGGGGCACGACCGCGGTGGCCTGCGCTTCCGGGGCCAGGCAGTGCGCAGTCTTCCCGCCGTGCAGCTGCGCCGGGACCGTCCTGGGGAAAGAAGAATGCACCGATACCGTATGCTCATTGCTCCTCCTCCTCCTCCTCCTCCTCCTCCTCCTCCTCCTCCTCCTCCCTCTTCCTCTTCCTCTCCTCCTGTCCTCCTCTCATCCCCCTCCTCCTCCTCCTCCTCCTTCTCCTCCTCCTCCTCCTCCTCCTCCTCCTCCTCCTCCTCCTCCTCCTCCTCCTCCTCCCCTCCGTTCCCCTGGCCCGTGCTCCGCACGCTCTTCTCCCTCCCCGTCCTCTCCCTCTCGATCTCCTCCCCCCTCCTCTCTCCCCAGCCTCCCTCTACTCCCCGGACCTCTCCTGGGGTGCGTTCTGACCAGGATTTCGAGGCCAACCCAGCGGTGGCGACGAGGGCCTCCGAGGAGGCGGAAGCAAAAACGGGAAAGCGGGCGAAGGGTGGAGGTATGGGTACCTTCTCCTCCCCTGACGTCCCCAGAGGCCCGAAGTCGCACAGCAGCGTCAAGTTCACCAGCGGCGCGTGCCGCAGCTCGACGGCCACGGGCACCCGCGCGCCCACCGGCGCCGCACGCGGCACGAGCTCCGTGGCTCGTGGCGTGTCGAGGACCTGCAGCGAGAAGGGCCCCCCGACGAACTCCAGGCCGACGACCTCGTGCCTGATCGCGAGCTGCACCCGCACCTGCAGGCCCTCTACGTCCCAGAGGGGCGGCGGCCGGCAGATCAGCGGCCACTCGTCGTCGCGCGCCAGCTCGCCCACGACCTCGTGAAGCCCCACCAGGCACACCAGCGCGCCCCGCCGCAGCTGAAGCAGCTCCTCTTGGCACGCCCGCAGCTGGCACGAACAAAGTTGGGCATGACCGACGCCAAGTAGCAAAGGCTGTCCCAGACTGGCAGCGGAGCGGTCGAAGTTGGGCAGGCGACGGGTCGTCTCCACTGGACAACGTCCGCGGTGACACCGACAGCGAGTTCTGTTCTTTGCCGCCTCGATGGATGGCGCCGCCTCGCCGACGCGTCGGCGATGCGGTGCAAGCCACCGGTCCCATCTGCTGGCCGAAGACGACGAGAAACCTCCCGTCCTGACTTTTGTTACGACGCGAGCATGTCTGGGTCTATCGCGGTGAGCATGGGACCACCACAAGAAAGACGTCCAGGGGGCCGAAACGAGCAGATCGCTCGAGGTATCCCCACGGTCGGGCCTCGAACGGGGGAGTGTCCTTACCCCCCAGGGCGGGGAGCACAAGTGCCACGCCTGCCAGACCGTGGTGAGCATGGGACCAGCAGAGGAGAGAAGTCTGGGGGACCGACGCAAGCAACCCAGACATGCTCGCGTCGTGCGTCGTAAAAGAGTCAAGACGGGAGGTTTTTGGCTATTTTCGGCCTACGGGGGCCCTCGCCGGGCCTCGGGACCGTCTAAACACGATTCATGATGAAAAGCCGGTCCCGGGGAAAGGTTCGGGACTTCCAGGGACGCCGCCCTGAAAAAATTAGGAGGTCGCGCGTCTGGGAAGTAAGCCGCGCGAGGCATCCCCACAATCTGGCCGCGGACGGGGGAGCGTCCTGCCACTGTCGTTGGCTCTCCCTTCGGGGGCCGAGGCCAGAAACCAGCAGCTCGCCCGAGACAGCCTCACCGTCTGCGAGTCTGAGTGCACGAGGGTTTGGCTGCGAGAGGGTCTGTGTGTGAGTGGGCCGGTGTGTGAGTGCGTCGTGGTGCGAATGAGTCTGAGCATGGTTGGGTTTGAGATGGAGCAAGTCTGAGCGAACGTACTGAGACTGAGTCTGAGTGGCAACGAGTCGGTGTTTGAACAGGTCTGAATATGAACGAGTCCGAGTGCAAGTGAATCCGAGGATGAGTGAGTCTTAGTGTGAGTGGGCAGTCGTGAGCTGAGCGCAACGAAAGCGCAACGGAGACGCGAGAAGAGGAGGGGAAGAGAGGAGATGAGGGGAAGGCGAAGGCGTCACAGTAACAGCGGGAACCCCATCTTGGGATATGGGGACAGAAAAAAGGAGGGCCGACACCCCTACTCTTGGCGGCGCGCACAAGGGGGTGGAGGCAGGGGGGAGGGCTTCTCAGAAGGAGGCTGCTCCTTAGAAGGCGCCAGCCTCACATCTACAGATAAGGCCCGCGCCTTCCAAGAGGCAGGGGTGCTTCTAAGAAGCCCCCCCCCTGCCTCTCCCCACCCCCCTCTGCGCGTGGCTGGAGAAAGGAGGGCCGACACCCCTGCTCCCCGAGCCTCTCCCGGGGTGCGTTCCGAAACGAGCCCCGCCGTGGCGACGAGGGCAGGGGAGCGGTGTCGAAGCACCGCCCCCTCTCCCGAGCCTGGGCGCGAGGGCCGCTGCCGCTTCGACCTCTCCTGGGGGGGGCCGCTCGCAGAGCACCCCGGCCGTGGGTCGGCGCGGGCAGAGGGCAGCAGCACCCAGCCCTGCGACGTCCTAACTTCTTCTTCAGTGCGCGGTCCCCCGAAGTCCCGACCCTTTCCCCGAGGAGGAGGAGGAGGAGGAGGAGGAGGAGGAGGAGGAGGAGGACCGGTTGTTCATGCTGAGCGTTTGTTGTGATCGGCGTGACCGGTTTTTCGTCCTGAGCGCGGCTGCCCCGGGACCGGGTTTTCGACCCTCGCCCGATGTGATCCTCGTCCTGGCTCGTCTTTCAATGCCGCTGCCGCTGTCCTGCCCTCGTTTTCCCCTTTTGGGGGCCTCCTGGGTGGCCCTCGTCGCCACCGCTGGATTCGCCTCGAGATTCTGGTCCGAGCGCCCCCTAGGAGAAGTCCCGGGGAATAATGGCATCGGCACCGATGGGTTTCCACAGGAGCACCGAGACCCCGCGGTGGCATCGCCCGAATCGGTCCTCGTCCCGGCGTCGTCTTGCTCAGGGGCTGGCGCCCCCCCCCCTCCCGCCTTTCGCGGGCTGCAAACCCAGAGACCCGACGTCGCGTGACTTTTATCCACGCGCGGTCCCCGGAAGTCTCGACCCGTTCCCAGAAGGACCCGTGTGGCATCCCGAGTCGCTCTTCGACAAGCCCAAAGGCCCGACGTCACGTGACTTTTTTCCACGCGCGGCCCCCGGAAGCCTCGACCCGTTCCCAGAAGGACCCGTGTGGCATCCCGAGTCGCTCTTTGACGGTCCCGGGGCCCGGCGCGAGGGTCCTGCAGGGGCCGAGCTGAAGGTGAAGACCCTCCGTCCGGAATCTGCTACCCGCGCGAGCATGTCGGGGCACCGAGGCACCACGCCCCCCTCTCCCGAGAGGGGCGGGCGGCAGGCGGCTCCTGGAGCCCCGCGCCCCCGCGGAACCGCAGCAGCGCGCCCTCGGCCAGCACGGCCACGGGCGCCATCTCCGCCGGCGCCAGCTCGCCGATCGCGGGCAGGATGCGCGCGGCCTCGGTGGGCCCCGGAAGCGGCAGGGCCGCTTTTTCACCGTGTCCGAAGAAGTGTCCCTTGAAAACAAAAAAAACACGGCGACCGGAAACGGGAAAAAAAGGGCTCCAGGATTGGAGCCAGAGCTGATGGGCCTGTTTTCCACCACCACCACCATACGTGAGTTGGAGGGGGGAAGGAGGTGGAGGATGATCGAGGAGGAGGAGGAGGAGGAAGAAGAGGGGGAGGAGGACCCCCTCCCCCCTTCCAACTCATGGTGGTGGTGGTGGAAAACGGGCCTATCGGGAGCCGGAGCCCGTCGACAGAAACGGCAGAACGGCACCGGCAAGGAAGCGGCGTCCCCAGACCCCCGACGTCGTGATTTTTTCACAACGTCGACCCCCAGAGGTCTGGACCCATTCCCCGGGACCGGTTTTTCATCCCGAGTCGTTTTTTGACGGTCCCGAGGCCCGGCGAGGGCCCTCGGAGGCCGAAAATAGCGAAAAACCTCCCGTCGTGATTTTTTCACGACTCGAGGAGGTCTGGGTCGGAAGCGGCAGCAAAAACGGCAGAACGGAGCGGCCACCCAAAACGGCCCCGCCGCTGCCATAGAGCCCGCGCTGAGCGCGCGGCCCCCGCGGGCCACCCGGCCGCCCCGCGCGCGCGGAAGCGCAGCTCCGCCTCCGGGGTGTGCCTCGGCGTGGCGCGGCACACCGCGCCGCAGCCTGCGCAGGGCGGCTGGAGGAGGAGGAGGAGGAGGAGGAGGAGGAGGAGGAGGAGGAGGAGGAGGAGGAGGAGGAGAGGAGGAGGGAGAGGGAGAGGAGGAAGGAGGAGGAGAGGAGGAGGTGGGGGGAGGAGGAGGAGGAGGAGGAGGAGGAGGAGGAGGAGGAGGAGGAGGAGGAGGAGGAGGAGTGGGCCCCGCCCTCCTCCTCGCGCCGTGGCAGGTCGTCGCGCCGTTGTGGCGCTCGAGGCTCGACGGGCCCAGACAGGGCCGCGTCGTGAGGAAAAAACCTGGACGGAGGTTTTTCACCGTTGTCGGGCTCCCCAGACCTCCTCGCGTCGTGAAAAAATCACGACGGGAGGTTTTTCGCTATTTTCGGCCTCCGGGGGCCCTTACCGGGCCTCGGGACCGTCAAAAAACGACTCAGGACGAAGAACCGGTCCCGGGGAAAGGGTCCAGACCTCTGGGGGTCGACGTTGTGAAAAAATCACGACGTCGGGGGTCTGGGTCTGGGGGCCCTTGCTGGGCCCCGGGGCCGTCAACAAGAACGGCGCAGGGGTGGAAAACCGGTCCTGGGGAGAGGGTCGGGACTTCCAGGAACGCCGTCCTGAAAAAGTCGGGGTGTCGCATGCCTGGGGAGGTCTCCCAGATGGGGTCCGAGTAGATGGGGTCCGAAGATCGCGCCGCATCGCCGATGCATCGGCGATGCATCGACGGTGCATCGGCGACGCCGGCGTGCGTAGAGAACATCGGGCTCCGCATCGAGCTCGACGATGTGCCGCGATCCTCTGACCCCATCTACTCCGACCTCATCTGGGAGGCTTATACTGGAGGTGCTCGGACCTTGACGTAAGTTTCTGGAGGATCTCCAGCCCCGGGATGTTTTCCGGCAGATTCGGCTTAAATTGCCGAGAGCGTGCCGGAGCTGCCCGGATCGTCCCGAACGTCGCCTTCCACGGGAAACCCGGCCCTGGAACCCCAGGACGTCCATTGATTTTTGGCGTGGGGGGCGTCACGCGTTCCGTAGCAAAACCATCGAAACCCAAGAAACCCAGGGCACCCTGGAGGCTGGCAGGGTGTTTCTTGGCAGGGGCCCCCACTGCAGCTGTGACCCGACAGCCGGACCTCGCCGTGGACACAACGACAACGTCGACGGTGCTTGGCCGCTTTCGGCCGCCCTCGCCGGGCGCAGGGGCCGGCCAAAGAGGTGGTCGGGAGATGGGAAGCGGGCGCTTCCGCCCACTGTCGGGCCCCGGGACCCTCGCGGATCGATCCGGCTCGAAGAGCGTCGCAGGAAGATGGGGTCCGCGGGGCTCCGGGCGTGACTCTTTTTCCGACGCGCTGCAGTTTTGTCGCGACGTCGGAGCTCCGGGAAGCTCTGGAGGTCCATGGACCTCCGCGTGCACGCGGCGGGGAAACCAACAAATCGCGGCGTCGGAGCTGTGGGCGTGCACCTGCGCCGGCCTGGCCCGTCGAGGGGCCAGGATCGGTGCACACGCGCTCCACTGGCCAAGGCAAGGGGGGAGCGCAGGCACCGCTCCAGTGCCCCGGGCCGGCCTGGCTATAGCGTCGGCGTGGGTGTTTGAGAATCCTTTCATTAGCCGATCCCCGTCCCCACCAGCGCGGGCCGGGCCCCACTGGGCGATCTCCCCCCCCGGATGGGGATGTGGGCTGCCCTCTTCGGGTTCCGGGGGGCAGAAGTATCCCCAAAATGAGGTGGCGAGGCGGCGGGGCTCGAGAGGTGGATATGGGGCTGGGGGTACCCCGAGATCGACGTTGCAAAAAAAAAAATGCTCCATCGCGAAAATCACGCCCAGAGACCCAGACCTCACCTTTCCGCGTCACGTTTCGAGCCCGATCGATCTGTGAGGGTCCCCCGGGGCCCGAAATCGAGCGAGAACGCCCGTGGCAAAAAAATGGCAACGCCAGGATCTCAGGGTATACGCATCGTGTTATCAGCGACGCTGCGAGCAGGTGTGGCCGGCGCCCTCCGACGCCTGGGCAGGAGGAGTTGACCTCGGCCACGCTGGCCAGGAGCTCGAACGTGGAGTCCGGCGGGCCCAGGGCGCACTCGCCGCCGCCGTCGTAGATGTAGGGCGACGAGATCTATGCATATCCACTGCTCCTGGCCAGGCCCATCCTGGGCCCAGGAGCTGTGTATATGCCTCCCTGGCCAGGCCAGGAGGGCGTATACACCGCTCCTGGGCCCAGGATTGGCCTGGCCAGGAGCAGTGGATATGCATAGATCTCGTCGCCCTAAGATGGAGAGGCCGCCTGCCGTGGCGCTCGTGAGCAGCAGCTCGCCCGCGACGCCCACCTCCGCCACGCCCACTGTGCTCCCGAGGCCGCGGGGCTGGTCCACCAGCGCGACGGTCAGCTGCCCGTCCTGCGGTGGCAGGCCAACCCAGACGTGCTCGCGTCGCAAAAAACTCGGGACGGGAGGTGTTTCGCCGTTTTCGGCCGCTGGGGGCCCTCGCCAGGCCCCAGGGCCGTCAAAAAACGAGGCAGGGTGAAAAGCCGGCCCTGGGGAAAGGGTCGGGACCTCCTGGGACGCCGTCCTGAAAAAATCAGGACGTCGCATGTCTGGGAACTGGTCTCACCATAGGAATCCCTCCGGATGGTCCACCCACCAGATATGCGACGTCCCGGATCTTTTCAGGACGGCGTCCCCGCAAGTCCCGAGCCTCTCCCCGGGACCAGCTTTTCGTCCTGAGTCGTTGTTTGACGGTCCCGAGGCCCGGCGAGGGCCCCCCGGGGCCAAAAAACGGGAAAAACCTCCCGTCCTGGTTCGTTTACGACGCAATCATGTCTCTGGGCTTGAATCAGACGAATCCCTCCTGATGGTCCACTCTCTGCCGGGGGGGCCAGGCAGGGATGGGGGCACCTTTACACTGGCGGCCCCTCGGAGGTCCAGGAGCTGCCTCCTTGGCTCGGCGCGGGGCCCCTTCCCTGGCGCGCGGAGGCGCCCCGGGGGCGGCGCCTCCGGCACAGCCGCGCGGCCCAGGAGCTCCGCGCGGACCCCCCCGCTGCAACAGTTCTCCAGGCCTCGTTGACTGACCCTGAGATCCTGGCGCTGCAATTTGTTTGCCACGGGCGTTTTCGCTTGATTTCGGGCCCCGGGACCCTCACACAGATCGATCGGGCTCTAAAAGTGACGCGGAAAGATGAGGTCCGGGTCTCCGGGCGTGATTGTTGCGATGTTGCAACTTTTTTGCAACGTCGGATCTCAGGGGATTCCTAGCCCTAAGATCGGCAAGCCCGAGGCGATGACAATCTCAGGCATGCGCGCTCAGAAACAGAGGGCATCCTCCTCAAGATCGGCACCGAGGTGCGGCAAGTTCGCGGCGTGTCGACCCCGGCGTTGGTTCCCGACACCGCGGGGATCGTTCAAACTTGAACGATCGGTCGTTCCGTGACAGCCGGATCGCTCAACGACGGCCGATTCTGGGCCACGGGCGGCGTTCAACCTTAAACGCACGCGGTGGGGTCGCCGCCGGTCGGCACGACGCGGACCTGCCGTAAGGTGATGCCACACATAGGGATAAGGATATGCTCCCAGACATGCGACGTCGTGATTTTTACAGGATTGCGTCCCCGGAAATCCCGACCCTTTCCCTGAGACCCGCTCTTCATCCTGACTCGTTTCTTGACGGTCCCGAGGCCCGGCGAGGGCCCCCCGGGTCCGAAAATAGCCCAAAACCTTCCGTCTTGATGTTTTTCACGGGGGATACGTTTCAAGCCGGCAAACCTTGTTCAATGAGCATCCCCCCCCCCAGTGCCACTCCGCCGAGCGGCCTGCCCCGGCGCCCCCTCGCGCGCCAAGCCCAGCCCATGACGCGATCCAGCCCCTTTCACCGCCCACCATCGGCCAGGCCAAGTCTGCCCCCCCACCTCCTCCTCCTCCTCCTCCTCCTCCTCCTCCTCCTCCTCC